CCCCAAAACCCCAAAACCCCAAAACCCCAAAACCCCAAAACCCCAACTTTGAAAATAAGTGTTGAAATTATAATAAATTAAAAATAACTGATCGAAATGGAGAATACAAGCGAATACGGTGGCCCTAAGAAATCCAAGAGTAAGCTGATTTGTTTTATAAGACTTAATGGACTCTAATAATATATAGACTTCAGTCGGAAGTCAACAATGCTAAAGCGAAAGAAGACCTTGAAACCTTCAGACTCCAAGTCTAGTCATAGCCATCATGGTCGTAGGGATAGCTCGGGAGAATTGAAATATACTTGCAAAAATATTGTTCCTTTACCAATGTTCCCAAAGAAGCTCCTGCATGAAAGAGAAGAGATTCATAAATAAATTGCCGGTGAACATAAAAAATGCCAAGATGTATGACCTAGGACAATTGTTTGAACAGACGCCTGTATTTGAAGGCCCACTTATCGATTTCGATGCCAAGGAACCTCTTGAGGAATCCAAGTGGAATAAGGTGTCACAACTTATTCTAAATAGCTCCTGTGGGAATTCTCTCAAACTTATCCAGACTTACAAGACTAGTATAGAGACTCGTGACGAGAAAGCGTACATTCCTTTCCAGTACGAGCAAGTTAAAGCTGAGAAGAAATAATTGATTCAAACTTAATGATACAGTACTTTTAGTGTTTTCCTTTTAGGTTGAGAAAATCGAAATAAAATAAAAAGAAGATCAAGCGGAAATAAAGTAGTACAGCAAGATAATATTTATACTCGATATCGTGACAGGATTGGTACCTAAGTGTTAATATTCTGTAGAAAATAAGGACAAGAACTCATTAGAAAGCCCTCAACAAGAGCTGGTTGATGTGCCTCTCAAAGCTTTTACACAACAGAACACAGATATTAAGCCTAATCGAGAAAGTAGAGCATTTTCTGAACGTTTTAGTATCGAATACTTCAATGAAATTGGATAGAAGTAAGACCATCATGTCTGGGAAGAATGTTAATTTTTCATTGGAATCTACTATGAGCAAGATTAGCAAAAATTCCATATCTAAAGCCCTAAAAAGCTCGAAGATGCTGGAACCTATTATGACAAAAATGAGGCTATTGAAAGGTAAGACTTATATTCTAAATTAATAGCATCCAGGAACATGGACACTAAGTTACACAATAATATTGGCACTAGAGAATTGGTCCAAGAAAGCTACTTCAACGATATTTTGTTAGAAAAGTCAAACAAAAGTTTTATAAAGATTAAGAATTTTAACAGCAATTCCGACAAGTACCTCTTTGAGGCTTCAAATGTATCAGATAAGTCTACTCGAAGTAAGAAGACTCCTAAGAGATATTTGGATAACAAAAAGATTGCAAAGCTTAGTACCAAGAAATTTAAGAAATTAAAAGGAGCCAAAGTTGCCAAATTAGCTGAGAAATTGAGAGCTTCCAGCCAAATTTCCAAGAATATTCATTCCACTCAGCTAACGATTAAGAATAGGTACTTCCGAGTGTTATTTTTAGGGACCAGGATTGATATTCAGGTCTTTCAGGAAAGCTATCAAGGCTATCTCCTTGAAAATTTACATACGTAAGGTAAAGCTTGCCCTAATATGTAGTACGAGGAAGAGGTCAATCTCAAATAATGCAAATCTATCGAGAACTCGGCTCGCTCCTATTACTAGGGGTGAAAGTCCTTACAAGGACTAAACATGGTATGAAGTTTTAGAAAATTTTGGTCTCTAGACCCTAAAAATTTATTTTTATGCTATAAAAATTTATTCCAGTTTTATGAAATTGACAGGGGTTTTGGGGTTTTGGGGTTTTGGGGTTTTGGGG